AGTTGATGTGATGTGTAAGAATGATGAGTTTATATTATTTAATTATATAAATAATATTGAAGATAGTGATGTTGAGTTAAATTTGAGTTTTGATTAGTTTTTTAATGTACAATTCATATCCAATCGCCCCCTTAATTTTCCGCTTCATTAGTTGTTGGAAATGTTAAATGGTGCCCGCTTTGGATGGGAGAATGCTCTCCATCCACCATGGAGCCACATATGGATATCTCGTGAACTTTCGATTACCTTGTCATACTAAGACTATATTTGGTAAAACTAGTTGATAACTGATAAACTAGTTTATAATTTATCAGTATTTTTGGAGCTTATAACTTATGACTTATAGATGAAAAACTAGTTTATATGATATAAGTGTTAGTAAAATTAACTGATAATATAGCTGAAATAAAATTTTCAACGGGCTTTTTTGAAAAGCTGCCCAAACAAGCGTATGAGATAAACTCGTCAGACTAAACGAAACTTATTTGAATACAAGAATCTTATAATCTAACCAAATAAGCTATAAGCAAGATTATTATTGTAACCAAACATGGCCTAATTCTAATGTAGTTTTTGTCATGTCGAATATATTAATTTGTACTCATTGTGGGGATAAGCGTAGAATTAGTAGAGGTGACCAAATAGCGGTTCCGGGCTTGGTTTTGAAGGCCCTAAACTAGTTCAAAAATATAAGTAGGCCGGTATGGTTAACCGATGTTCCAAACAGGTTTATAAACCACGAATTCTGAGTCGGCCGGTTTATTAGAATAATATTAACTGCAAAATAATAATAATAAAAAAAAAAAACAAAATAAAAGGCCGTACCGTCAAATCCAACTCGACTGATAAATATATATATATATATAGTTCGAAATCGACCCGATCAAACTACGGACTTAATTAGTTCATTGATCACCGGCCGAACTCGCGGTCATGTCTAGGAACTAGGCAAAACTATAGAGAGTAATTTATAGTTCAAAAAGTATCATATATATGTTTGACGGAACGAAAAAAAGTGTGACGCAAAAGGCCAAATGTCAATTGGACTTTACAATTGTGAATGCTTAATTATTATAATTTGTGCAAAAATTATAAAATGATTATAATTGATAAATAACACTAATTTGGTCGTCAAAAGTGATTGGTTGAGTAGTCTGAGTTTGCATCAACTCACAAAAAAGAAGTTGGTTCAAGAATCCATCATTTTATTAACTTTATGCAACAACTTTGAACGTGCAATGAAATAAAAAAAGGGCTCGCATCATAAACTTTATTATATGATTGTATTTGCTATATATATATATATAAGCTAGCTTAATTTAATTATTTTATAACTCATTTATATTTAAGTATCATTTAATAAATAAGCGTATTTCAAATGATTGAGGCAGCATTACAATTAAGTTTATATAAAAATATATATTTCATTTCTAACGATGTATCACAAATTTTAATTAACATTTTTATAACATCAACGAATTTTTCATTCATCTATCACCATCTCAAAAGTAATTAATTTATGGAATATCGGTGTTTTTTTTTTTTCTTTTTTTTTTATACAAAGGAGGAGGCCACCTGCCTAAATTAATACTCGGCGAGGATATGACAACCCAAAATTGGTGCGATCCAGTCGGGTAGAATGCTTCAAGACTTGCCATATGATCAGCCGCAAAATTGGCTACCCTATGTATGTGTTGGACTCGAATAACCCATTCTCGTTGGACCATATTTCGAACGGCCTTAACCATCGCTCCATGGGGCCCGAGTTTATCTTCAGCGCCACAAACCATTTTTTGCATGCGAAGGCTATCCATCTCGGCGATAACTTGTCGATATCCCTTCTCCCAATCCAATTGTAAACCCTGAAAGAATCATATTGGTGTATTTATTAACTATATGTTAATTGTGGAGCTAAATCTACAAAATATTCCATATATGTAAACTATCAATTGAAGACTTATAAAAGCTAGCTTTTTATGCAGAGCCGCCCCAACTTTTTCCTTTATTACCAATTCAATTCAATTTGAGTAGGTACCAACGTGTAAAGAGTACTTGTGAAGCAATATAAAGCCAAACAAACACGTGCAGTGCACCCTTTTAGGGCCACGCCCCACGTTAATCATCTATCTAATCTCTACATGCATGAAATAAGGTAATTAGTCGTCTATTTAAGTTCCAAATTTTACTTACGAGTTTTAAGTAACATATAATTATTACTTGATGAATAAGATTTTTAATGTAATATAACTGAAGTTGTATTTCCATCAATTCGGGGGAGTTATCGAGTTGAACCGGCTAGAAGTAGCTCTTGTTTGTCTAGTTGAGTTGAGTTCAACTCGTCTAATAAAAATAAAACTTAATTAATTCAATTGCACTATTTTATTTATAATTCAAAATAAAAATATATAATTAAGTTGATTGAGAACAAGCTCGGGTCTGTTTGTTTAATAAATGAGTTTTATTAGTTATTTAAGTTCGGTTCGTTTAAGTAAACGAACGAGGAATTTTCAACTTTTACGATACAAATAGCTCATCCAGTATCAACACCAAATTTGCCAGAAAATACATATTTTAGACTGCATACAAAAACATGATATTTTACAGTATAATTTTGTATTTTTTTTATTTTAGTTATAAAATATGGTAATAGACTACGAGAGCATAACATTTGCGGTTAGGTATGAGCAATTTACAAAAGATTTATGAAAGGTTGATGGTACAATAACATAATGTTTGGCATAACAAATATGTGACAAGATTAATTACAAATCACATCAATTTTATAAATCTAACCTAACGCACATCATTTACATAATTCATTATTTAAAAGTTTATGTAATTAAAATAGATTTATTTCATGCGAAAGGATCAAACTGACATCTATTTACTTAGTTTTATGTTTTTACGTACCATTGAGAAATAAATAGAAAACTTAATAAGTAACGATTTTGTATCATTATGTGGAACAAAATATTAGGCAGAATTAGTTAAAAGGCTTAAAGCTTCATGCATTGGACGAAGCATGTGATTCTTAACGAAGACGTTTATACACAATGTTATGGTGGGGGAAGATGCTATAGTCCCGTTACAGAATCATTCCGTCGGAATTTGTAATTATTAGATCAACTATGTGTGACGGTTACATGATGATGTAACGGTTACAAACTCCGACAGAATGATTCCGTAACGGGACATTAACATTTGCGTGGGATGATAAATTATGGACAAATTATGTGAAAGCTCAATGACTCGTGTCATCTACAAAAACCAGAAAATGGGTTACATTATTATTATTATTATTATTATTATTATTATTATTATTATTATTATTATTATTATTATTATTATTATTATTATTATTATTATTTTTATTATTTTTATTATTTACATGGTTATATGATCATTGCATCAAATTCCGGACTTGTAAACAAATCGAATTTTTTATTCTATTCTATATTCAATTTGAAATATTCGAATTCGAATACGAATAATATTTTATATTTAAAAATTAAACGAATCCGAATTCGAATTTGTAGATATTCGATTCGAAATTATCAATATTTGATTCATTAACAATAATTATATAATTTTTATAATTATATATAGTGTAAATTTTGTTTATAATATATATATTTGTTATAATCTTAGTATTTCTAAGACAAAAAAAATTAAAAACATCCCAAATTAATAATTTGCTCTAAAAACATCTCAATTGGATAAGAAAAACATAAACAATATTTTGGTAATTATAATCTTTTTTTGAAAACAAATTTCGAATCGATTCGAATAATGTTCCAATATTCTAAACGAATCGAATACGAATCAATAAATGAGTTCGTTTCCAAATCGAATACGAGTTCGAATCCTAAAAGATTTTCATGAATCCTAATCGAATATCGTAATATTCACTTCGATTTTTTCGATTTGATTCACTTACAACCCTCCCTTTTAGCACATGGGTAAATATCAATTTTCTGATTCGCAATAGTATGTATCTAACTTTTGGTGTTGCTTGTGGGTAATTTTTTATTTTTTATTTTTTTAAACGTACGCGTATAATAACAACAATTGGATTTGAGTTTGAGCTGCCATACCCATACCCTGCCCATCAACCCACCAACAGTGTCAAGTTGCCCTCCTTGACAAACGTGTTAATAAAAAATTACCATATGACAAACTATTTGCAACTTGCTAATCTCATTCATTCAATTTCTACCTAACTTAATACCCAGTTATTTATTCTAATGATGAAGAAAAAAAAATGTATAAAAAAAGATTTTGACCATATACACAATTCATGCCGTGGATGTAAACAAGTCAAACCGAGCTAAAACTCTAGTATTGAACTCGAACTCATGATACTCAAGTTTGAGTTCAAGCCTTTAACGACTCGAGTCGCCTTCGTCTAGTTAACTAAATGAGTCATTAGTTGAGTTTGAGTTCGACTCATTTATTAATAGTAGCAAGCTGAACTAAAGCCCTAAAGTTTTAACGAGCCGAGTTACAAAAAATTATATAAATAAAATCCTACTATTAACTAATTGAACTCGAGATGATAAACGAGTCGAGCTCACGACGGCCTCGTTCTGTTTTACAGATCTAAGTAAGTATATGTGTTTTGATCATGCAAGTAGGGTGAAAATGAAATACACGGAATTTGATTTTTATTTTTGTTTTGGATTAAAATAATGTCAACATGAGTACATTTGCGCGCCTATATATGGCGCCCACTGCGTAGCAACTGATCCATCTCATTTCCACGTCATCATTTATTGTCTTCATACACAAGGGGAGAAAAAATCGGCCTCCATAGATACTTTTCCTTTGCTAATCATATCGAAAAAATCCTTCAAAACCACATATAAATTCACAGTTTGCGCCCCTCACATTTTCCCCACACGGATTTTTATTCACAATTTCTCTGGTTGTGTGTGTGTGTGTGTGTGTGTGCTTGATATTTTTCTGCGCGTGTGTGAACATTGTTTGGTGCTGTTGATGTGATGGAGCAGAAGCACGTGTTCCTGTCGGCATTGAGCATAGGGGTGGGGGTCGGCGTCGGGCTCGGCCTGGTGTCCAGCTCGACCGTCGGGAAATGGACCGGCGGCGAAGGCTATGCGGAAGCGGACGGCATCTCCGCCGGGAAGCTGGAGATGGAGGTGCTCCGTCTGGTGGTGGACGGGAAGGACAGCAAAGTCACGTTCGAGGACTTTCCGTATTTTCTCAGGTAGTTTGAGAAGGAGATGAAAAAAGGTTATTTATTAAGTGAATTTTTTTATTATTCCTGAATTCTGAATCGTGTGTATTTTCTCAGTTCTTTCGTGTTTTAGCTTAATTAGTTGATTTATAAGTCGTCTATATTTTTATCTATTCTTCGTGCTTTAGCTTAATTAGTAGTTTTTGGTTTTTATTGATAATTTGAGAAGTAGATTCAAATGGTTCAAGCTTTTGATTTCGTATTAGATAAGCAACATTTTGATTCTCAAAGTGTCTGCTGTGTTCTTGTGAGCAAGGGACTTAAGGGAATCAAGTGAAGTATTAAGATCTACGTTTAAATCGTTGATATGTTTTTGATCCATGAGTTCAAGCCGCTCGTTTATTATTTTGATCTAGCTTAGTATTACTTGTGTTGTTATGTGATTGCTAATCTACTTTCATCAATGATTATGACAGTGAAAAAACACGTGTGTTGTTGACAAGTGCTGCTTGTGTTCATCTGAAACACCTGGATGTATCTAAGCACACTCGGAACCTTTCGCCTGCAAGTCGAGCTATATTGCTCTCAGGCCCTGCAGGTAAAGCTTAAATCACCATAGTTTCATTACTGTTTTGAAGCATATAAAGGTTCATTTGGTGTTTACTTTAGTCTTATTATGTTCTTGGTTTTGTTTCAGAATTGTACCAGCAAATGCTTGCCAAGGCTCTGGCACATCACTTTGAAGCGAAACTGCTACTGCTGGATGTAAATGACTTTTCACTTAAGGTAGTTCCTTTGATGTTAATCTTGCATCGCCAAATAATTTCGAATGCATTTATGTACCTAATTTGTTTTGTGTCATTGGCTACAGATGCAAAGCAAGTACGGTATCGCCAAGAAAGATTCTGTAAGCATGATTGATTTCCTTCAAACTCTTTTTTCTTCCTTTTTTTTTTTCTTTTAATTCCTTAAAATTTGAAGTACGTTGTTGCTAGAACTAGTGTATCGGGAATTCGGGATTCTTCATATTGTATATTATTCGTGTGAAAATTAAACCAAATTGCATGACTAGAAAATGTACTGATACTCTTTTTTTTATATATATATATATAATATGCTGTAGTCTCTCACAAGATCAATCTCCGAAGCAACGGTGGAGCGATTGTCCAGTTTTCTTGGTTCCTTATCTATGCTTCCATATAAAGATGATAACAAAGGTATGAACAAAAGGCGACATTTTCCCATTCTTTGTGTTTTGGCTTATGTTTCCACACACTCCGAAGATTGGTGGTATATTTCTGGATTAAATCGAGATTTGCTTTAGATATTCTAATTGACGTGATATGGTTTATGTAATAACTATCTGTAGGCACATTGTCCGGGCAAAGGAGTGGACTAGATGCGACTATGAGGTACGCTTAGCTTAAATACTGTGCAAATACATCAAATTGCATTTTGGCTAAATGTCTGTGTATGACATAATATCTGTTACTTGAAGGGATACTGAAGGAGCCAACACTTCCACAAGGCCTCGCAGGACATCCTCTGTCTCTTCAGATATGAGTAGCATAAGTGGACTGTCTTCCTCTTCCAGTCCAGGTTCAATCACAATACTCCTTAAGCATGATTTAACTGCTATACTTTCTCTGATTTTATGAGGAACATAATATCTAACTTTTTTGTTTTTCACCTTTTTAGCCCATCCCAAGCGTGTATGCAGCTGGTCATTTGATGAGAAAATTCTCCTGCAGTCGGTTTATAAGGTAACTGCATCATTCACCGAAAGTTCATGCAAAAATGATTTCATTTGCCTGAAGAAAGTTGGCCTTGTTAAAACTTATTCTACGATTATAATAAATAAAAATGTGACATGCAGGCCTTAGTTTCAATTTCCCAAACAAACTGCATAATTCTCTACGTCCGTGACGTCGACAAGCTTTTTTTCCAATCCCCGAGGTTATACAAATTGTTCGAAAGAATGTTGAAAAAATTGACGGGGCCGGTTTTGGTACTCGGTTCCCGAATAATGTTAGACCTCGATGATGACTGTGTTGAATTAGAAGATAGGCTGAGCCTTCTATTTCCTTACAACATCGAGATCCGGCCGCCAGAGGACGAGAATCACCTGGTGAACTGGAAAAGTCAACTGGAGGAGGATATGAGGAAGATCAAAATTCAGGACAACAAGAACCATATAGCAGAGGTATTAGCTGCGAATGATCTCGAGTGTGAGGATTTGGGCTCGATATGTTATGGCGACACTATGGTTTTGAGTAACTACATTGAGGAGATTGTTGTCTCAGCTTTGTCGTATCATTTGATGAACAACAAGGACCCTGAGTACCGTAATGGGAAGCTCGTTATATCAGCTAACAGGTGGATATGTAGCATTTCTTTTCCTCTTTTGTTCACTTACTGTTTCGTTTATCGATTCCCTCGCATCGTAAATGGGCAAGTGTTCACTCGACTGCACTTTAATGCAGTTTATCTCATGGATTAAGCATTTTCCAAGAAAGTAAAAATGGTGGAAAAGGTACCATCAAATTGGAGACCAATGCCGAAGGTGTCAAGGTTTGTCCTTTTCACAGTTCTGCTTTTCTAATAGTTACAACCCTTTCTGAGTTATCACTCTGAAATAATTTTACCATTTGGATCAATTTTAGGTGTCCGACGGGAAAGGTGACGCCGGATCCAAACCTGAATCAAAGTCCGAAAACCCAACATCCGAGAGCAAGGGCGAGGCAGAAAAGTCAAATTCATCAACAAAGACGGAGCTTGAAAGTGCAGTGATCTCAAAACCCGCTGTAAGGATAGCACAATTGTTAGTTAACTAATTAACTCCCAACTTTCTCTAACGAATTCTATATAGTTTTTAGATTATTTGGAGTCCCATTGTTCTCATCCTACACTTTTCTGTCCTCAGGAAGTCCCTCCGGACAACGAGTTTGAAAAGCGGATAAGGCCCGAGGTCATCCCGGCTGACCAAATCGGGGTCACGTTCTCTGACATTGGGTCCCTGGAGGAGACCAAGGAGTCCCTCCACGAGCTCGTCATGCTCCCCCTCCGCCGGCCGGACCTATTTTCAGCCGGCGGCCTCCTCAAGCCCTGCCGGGGCATCCTCCTGTTTGGGCCCCCAGGCACCGGCAAGACCATGCTCGCCAAGGCCATCGCCAACGAGGCTGGCGCTAGCTTCATCAATGTCTCCATGTCCACCATCACCTCCAAGTGGTTTGGGGAGGACGAGAAGAACGTGCGGGCCCTATTCACACTGGCCGCAAAAGTGTCCCCGACTATTATTTTTGTGGATGAGGTTGATAGCATGCTCGGGCAGAGGACGAGGGTCGGGGAGCACGAGGCAATGAGGAAGATTAAGAACGAGTTCATGACACATTGGGATGGGCTGCTCACGAAGCCTGGGGAGAGAATTCTGGTGTTAGCGGCAACTAACAGGCCTTTCGATCTGGATGAAGCCATTATAAGGCGTTTTGAGCGCAGGTAAAACTTTTGAAAATTTTCTTTCCGTACAGTTAAATTGATTCAAACACCCTTGAAACCATGCTCATATTCACATTTTTTGTTGAACAGAATCATGGTTGATCTACCATCAGTGGAAAACAGAGAAAAGATCTTGAGAACCCTTCTGTCGAAAGAGAAAGTTGAAAACCTTGATTACAAAGAGATTGCAACAATGACAGAAGGATACAGCGGAAGTGATCTCAAGGTCTAAATTCCCTTACTTCTGTTAAACTGTATTTTTGGCTTCAATTATCTGCCACTGACCGGTGAGCTGTGACTAACCACTGTTGACAGAATCTATGTGTGACGGCAGCTTACCGACCAGTGAGAGAATTCTTACAGCACGAGAGGCAGAGAGACAAGGTATATTATACCCCAAATCTCCTAATCTTTTTTTTTT